GTTAGCACTTAGCAACAATAGATATCCGTATCTGACCTACAAATGTTCTGTTAGCATTATCCTCAAATAGTGTAACTGTGTGTGAAACAAACTCTTTGCAGCTCTCTTTATCAGATGGCAATAATCACAAGAGGAGGGCATCATGTCTGGTGAAGTAAAGGAACAGCGAGAGCAAGGGAGACCCTTGGTGAGATGGACTGCTAGTACAGCCTCGGCAATGGACTCAAACATGCTGGCCACTTTGAGAACGATGCTTCACTCTGGTAGACACAGGGCAGCCACGAGTCAGAGATGATCAAGGCAATAGTAACAGCAACACATGAAATAGGAAGTTTTAAGAATGAAAACTTAGTCACATGTTAAGTGACTTCTCTAAGCCAAACACACATGAAAGTACTTGAGAGGGGTGGTTCACTAAACACTGATGAGACACTGTTTATATATAAGGAGGAAGCTCACTGTCTCAAACTCCCCGTTGTCAATTTTTTTGAAAGCTTCAGCGATGTAATCATCTTCAAACCACTGATGTGCAAAGTCATCCCTTGGGTTTCCAGACACCAGTCTACATAATGCTTCAGAAATAGCAGCCTGCTGGTCATAATCTGAGTAAAAACACAGTAGACCAGGATAATTCTGGGCATGAAGAAAAACAACAGGAACGATTGCCACTTACACCAAGAAATCCCATCTTAAGAGTACTAGCAATATGTCCTCTGTCACAAACAACAGTATATATCCTGGTGTGATCATATTCATTTCAATTAGTTAAGAAACAGTAGTTGGAGAAAAAAAAAAATCTGAAAATCTATCAGCATATGCCACTGTATTAAGTAATAAATATCTCTCGGATTTGTTTCAGATATAGTAGAACAGTTTCCAAAAGGAGCTTTCCAAATAGCCAAAACAAGAATGAAGGAAAAGCATTCCCATGACAACAATTAAAATTCCAAGATATACTGTGCTGTTTTACAGTACATAAATTAAAATTCCATTTCATTATGTTTAAATCTCAAATAGTTTAAGGGTAAAGTGCAAGTTAGCCAAAGTGTGTGTACAACAGGATAGCATTTATATAATCTTTTCTTTAATTTGCAAAACTATGATACTTCTACATTTATTACATAGAGCAGTAGAAGCAGGCTTGTGAATGGACAATCCCAAGCTAAGGATCGCTCCCACCAGTGTAGAGGGGAACAGGAACAGAAAGAGGGCATGTTCACTGAGGACTTTGTTACTTTTTAAAAAAAGAAGATTTGAAACAAGTATGGCAAAACACTAACATTTCAGGAAACTAGTGGGTAAAAGTAAATGAATATTCACAAACAATTCTTAATAGTTTTTAACATACAGAAAACTCACATCCTAAATTACAAATAAAATCCTAGTTCCTGTTTTTAATTTAACCACAATTTCATTCCCCATAATTCCAAGATGCTCACAACAGCCTCCTTCCCTCCATGCCCAAGATTTGTTATTCCGAAATTTAAAATTCTCAACACTACTTACCACCAGCAGTCATAATAGTCCTTGCAAGGTCTTTCCTGAAACATTAAGATAAATAACCTGTTACTGAAATGAACATCAACAGGCAAAATACATCAGTCTACTGTCATGAAACATAAAAACCAAGAAGGACATTTCTGACAACTGTTTCACATTCAGCACCCAGCATTGATCACAATTTCCTCAGATGTCAACATGAAACTTTAAAGGAAAAATCTTCATGCTTATATACTATAACCCATATGTATCTACCTGGACCCCTGCTAGGTGCAAATTAAGTATGCACTGGACTATTTTCCTTTAGGTTGGTATTTCAAACTCACCCAGCAGCGCTGTGGAAGAAACGCCTGGCAACTCGCTTTCAGAAAGATAAGGAAACCCTATGGAGCCATTTTACTCAGTACTTGTGGGGGGTCACTATGAATCAGAATCGACTCAGTGGGAACAGGTTTCTTTTTTTTTAAATACATTTTTTATTTTAAAAATTTATTTTAAAAAATATGGTATGGTGCTTCAGGATAAGCAATGGACTGGTAACTGCAAGGTTTGTGGTTCAAACCAACCGGCTGCTACTCAGAAACCCTAGATAGAGTCGCTGAGTTGAAAGCAACTCAACAGTACCCAACAACACAACTACCAGACACTCTGATGTTCCATTTCTCCTTCTGTAAAGCGAATTCAATCTGATGGTCTCTGAAGATAGACCCAACGTTAAGATTACGGAATTTTATTAACACCTCCCCAGCCTGTGAAGATTATACATTATACTTTTTGCATCCTAACTTTGACAGCTGAATGAAAATCTAAACTTTAATTTAGAAATATAATGGGATTAAATTATTACATTATTGTACACCTCACAGATTCCCATGTTGTATAGCAGAAATACTACTTGTTAGTACAATAATAATTTTTTTAAGTAGGAAATAATCAACTTTTATGTTAAAGAGTTTTAAGAAAGCTTGTGATACTTTAGTTTCTGTTAAAAAAATCAATTGTATTGTTACATGTTGTTGTAGTGGTCGTTAAGGGCAGATGAGTCTTTCTGACTCACAGTGACCATAGATAGGGTTTCCAAGGAACAGCTGGTATAAGTCTGAACTGCCGATCTTGTGGTTAACAGTCCAGTGCTTACCCTACAGTGTCACACCAGGAATTCTACTGACTATATGTTGTTGTTGTTATTAAGTGCCATCAAGTCATTTCCAAGTCATTACATGGATGCCTTCTAATAAAACCAATGATAGTTCTATTTAATTTTATGTTTGCAGTTTCACCTCTGACTTACAACATATCCCAGACTTTCTAGAACCCACAAACCATAAAGTAGAATGATCATGGGATTAATTTGAAAACTTAGAAAGAAAGCAACAGGTCAGCTGCTCTCTAAATCTTAATATACCATTAAGAGTAATGATTTTACTAAAGCCATGATTAGATGCAATTTCAAAACATGATACTGATCCCAATGTAGGAAACAGGGTGGTGGCACCTCAAAAACTTAACTTAGGTTTAGATTTACTAGAACTCATGGATAATTTAGTTGATTTTCACTCACCCCACCTCTACAGGATGGAGTGAAACTCCACAGATATTCCAAGACCTTGTATCTTCATGGGAGCAGAGTCTCATCTTTCTACTGAGGAACAGCTGATGGGGTCTGAATTGCCCGACCCCAAGGTTAGCAGCACAACAGATATCCCACTGCACTACAACCCAACAATTCTACTCCTTGATCTATACCCCAAAGAACTATAGCAGACACTTGTACACCAATGGTCACTGCATTATTATTCACAAGACGTAACAGGTGGAAATGACCCAGGCAGCCATCAGTAGATGGATAAGCAGAAAGTGGTGTGTAGCCACACAAGCTTTTCAAGAAAAATGACTTTTTCTTAATCCATGCTACAACATGAACATTGAGAAAATTATGCTGAATGAAATCAGACAAACACAAAAGACAAATATTGTCTGATCTCGCTTATATGAAATATCTAGAATGATTGTCAAATGCACAGAGATGAATGTTTATCAGTGGTTGCCAGGAGCTGAAGGAAGGGAAGGAAGATCAGGGAATAATGTGCTAGGGGTATTGAGTTTCTGCTCGGGGTGATGAAAATGTGGTGAAAATAAATTATGGTGACGGTTGCACAATGTTGTTGTTAAGTTCCTTGGAGTCGGTTCCGACCCATCGTGACCCTGTCTGTAGAGGGTTTCCGAGGCTGTAAATCTTTACAGGATCAGAAAGCCTCATCTTTCTCCCGCGGAGAGACTGGTAGTTTCGAACTGCTGACTTTGCAGTCCGCAGCCCGATTCGTAACCACTATGCTACCAGAGCTCCTTGGTTGCACAATACATGATTGTAAATATAATTGTTGTTTAGGTGCCATCAAGTCAGTACCAACTTATAGCGACCCTATGCACAGCATAACAAAACATTGCCTGATCCTGGGCCACCCTCACTACTGTTGCCACACTTGAGTCCACCGATGCTGCCACTTGGCCAATCCATCTCATTGGGAGGTCTTCTCTTTTTCTCTGACCCTCCACCTTACCAATCATGATGTCCTTTTCTAGCGACTGGTCCCTCCTGACAATATGTCCAAAATATGAGAGACAAAGTCTGACCATCTTGGGCTCCAAGGAACACTCTGGCTGCACTTCTTCCAATGCAGATCTATTGGTTCTTTCGGCAGTCCATGGCACTTTCAATATGCTCCTCCAACATCACAACTCAAAAGCATCAATTCTTCTATGGTCTTCCTGTCCAGCTTTCGCATGCGTTATGAGGTTACTGAAAATACCATGGCTTGGGCCAGTGCACCTTAATCCTCAAGCTGACATCTTTGCTCTTCAACACTTTAAAAAGGTCTTATGCAGCAGATTTGCCTAATGCAATACGTTGTTTGATTTCTTGACTGCTGCTTCCGTGAGTGATGAGAGTTGATCCAAGAAGAATGAAGTCCTTGACAACTTCAATCTTTTCTCTGTTGATAAGAATGTTTATTGGTCCAGTGGTGAAGATTTTTGTTTTCTTTACATTGAGATGTAATCCATACTGAAGGCTGTGCTCTTTGATCTTCAGTAAATATTTAAAGTCCTCTTCATGTGCAGCAAGCAAGGTTTTATCATCTGCATATCGCAGGTTGTTAATGAGTCTTGCTCCAATCCTGACTTCATGTTTTTCTTCATATAACCCAGCTTTTCTCAGATTATTTGCTCAGCATACAGGTTGAGTAAGTATGGTGAAAGAATACCTTGTCACACTTTAATTTTAAACCATTCAGTGTGCCCATGTTCTGTTCAACACCATTCCTCTTCAATTTGTCATTTCTAGCATAGTAAACCATGTGGTCATCAGATTCAAAACGGCCAATACCAGTCCATTTCAGCTCATTAATGCCTAAGATATCAATGTTTATGCATTCCATTTCATTTTTGACAACTTCCAATTTTCCCAGATTCATACTTTCTACATTCCATGCTCTGATTTTCAATGGATGTTTACAGCTATTTCTCTTCATTTTGAGTTGTGCCCCATCAGCAAATAAAGGTCCCGTGGGCTTTTCTCCCCTGTGCTTTAGTCCATTTGTGTCATCAAGGTCAACTCTACTTTGAGGAGGCAGCTGTTCCTCAATCGCATTTTGAGTGCCTTCCAATCTGAGGGGCTCATTTCCTGGCACTATATCTGACAGTATTTCTCTGTTATTCATAAGGTTTGCAGTGACTAAATATTTGGAAGTAGTTCGTCACTCTTTCTCCCTAGTCTGTCTTGGTCTGGAAGCTCATCTGAACCCTATCCACCATGGGTGACCCTGCTGGCATTTAAAATACCGGTGGCATAGCTTTCAGAATCACAGCAACTCACAAGCCACCACAGTACAACAAGCTGACAGACGAGTGGTGGTTAATTGTCATTAGGCACCATCATATCAGTCCTGACTCATAGTGACCTTATATGTACAATAGGACAAAACATTGCCCAGTCCTGAGCCATCCTAACAATCTTTGTTACAGCTGAGTCCACTGCTGCTGCGACTGTACTGGTCCATCTCATTTGAGGGTAATACCATTAAATTGTACCCTTAAAAATGATTAAAATGGCAAGCTTTATGTTACATTGTTGTTGTTAAGTGCCGTCAAGTCAGTTCTGACCGATAGTGACCCTGTATTGGGTTTCCGAGGAGCAGCTGTTGAGCTTGAACTGCCAACTTACAGTTTAAATGACTGCAGTCTGGCACATTAACCCACAGCTCCACACCAGGAGTCCATTAGGGAGCTTCAAAAAGTTTATGGAAAAAGCCTGTCTAGACGGGACTGGTGAAAGGAGATGGAGATAAGACTCTTGTGGTTCAATAGTGAATAATTGCTATCAGGACTGATTGTGAATGTTAAAAAATGTAAAGGTAGATGTTTTGTAACAAAAGGAGGGGAGTGGTTGATCTTGCAGTCCATGAGCAGAGGACCCTGGGACCATCAAGGGAGTGGAGCTCAGGACCCTGTTAAGAGAAGCAGAGTTGCCAGAGATGGAGGCAGAGAAGATGACATGGAGAAACAGCGCAGCTGGGGACTCTAGACTCAAGGAGGGAGAGGACATACCCTTTGGTTGTTTGAATGGTTATATAGTCCCAAGTGCTTCTATATACATCCAAAAAAAAAAAAAAACAGGGATTGGCTAGAGAAAAAAAAGAATGTTTAGATAAATCAGTAAACAGAAAACCTTTGTACTCATTACAAAGAAAAGGAATCTTTAAAACTCCTATAACAAAACAGAGGGCAACAAAGTGTGAAAACATTGAACAAGTCAAAGCAATAAGAAATTGACTAAGATGCCACTTTATGCAAGATAATCAATTCCAGAGTAGTTCAAGATAACCGTAAAAGCAAAAGTCATGTCAAATTTATATTTATTTGTAATATATCCTTTAATGTTTTGTGATTTGTTTAAAATAAAGTTTCCTCAGAAACAGAAAAAAAAGTGTATGGAAAAATGTAATTGAAAGATAATGGAATTTTCCCATGAACTTTTTGAAGCTCTCTTCTATATGCTTAATTTTATGAAGGCCAGGTGGCACAATGAGTAAGTGTTCAGCTGCTAATCAAGAGGTTAGTGGTTCAAGACCGCCCAGCAGCTCTGCAGTTTCTCAAGAAAGACCTGGTGATTTACTTCTGTAATGATGACTGCCAAGAAAACCCTAAGGGGCCGAGTTCTCCTCTATCTCCTTAGACTCCTATGAGTCAGAATCAATTCTTCATCAGCAATCAACAACAACATGTTTAACTATAATAAAAAAAAAAATTTAAATAAACATGATGCTGGGTTTTGTTCTTTCTCTGGTTGTACATTACCCACCTTGCTCCAAATTCCATATCCGAAGAACTCAGGCAAATGTGGCTTGGTCACCAAAGGAAAAAAACATCCAACACTTGTAAAGACAACATAAACTCCATGTCCTGTTGGTATACCCCTCCTAACTGGTGACAAGGTTATGTGGTAATCACTTTAAATGACTGCTTTGTTAAACTTCTTTAACATCTCTATCATTTTGTTGTTTTTATGTGCTGTTGATCCATTCCGACTCACAGTAACCCTATATAGGGTTGCCAAGGATCAGCTTGTGATTCACAGTCCAGGGCTGATCCTACAGTGCCACACCAGGGTGTGGCGCTGTGAGTTAATGCACTGGACTGTAAAGTCGGCTTGAGCTGCTGTAAGGCTGCCATCTTGGAAAGCTTTTACAGAGTCGGTATGAGTCGGAACTGCATTGGTGGCCCTTACCAACAACATTGCTGTCTCCAGTTTGTAGTGGTTACGAATCGGGCTGCGAACCTAAAGGTCAGCGGTTCGAAACTACCAGCTGCTCCGCGGGAGAAAGATGAGGCTTTCTACTCCCGTAAGGATTTACACCCTCGGAAACCCTGTACAGGGTCGCTATGGGTCGGAACCGACTCGACGGCACATAACAACAACAACAACAACAACACTGAAGTTCAGGACGTACTTTCCTGTACACTCACAACTGGCTTGCTTTGTGCCTTCAAGCTGGTTCTGACTCTCACAGTGACCCTGTGTTAAGGTTTCTGAGACTAAATCGTTACAAAAGCAGGAATCCTTTCTCCCCATAGAGTACCTGGTAGACTCGAACTGCTGACCTTGCAGTTAGTAGCCTGACACATAATCCACTACTGCCATCAGTCTCCTTAAATTCACAAATAGCAAAATGCCAAAGGAGTCCTGGTGTGGCGATGTGGGTTAATGCACCAGACTGCAAAGTCGTTTGAACTGCAAGGTCGGTGGGTCCAAGCTCACCAGCTGCTCCTCGGAAACCCTATATAGGGTTCGCTATGGGTTGGAACCGACTCAACGGCACTTAACAACAACAACAACAAAATGGCAAAGCCTGCTTTTAACCCAAGGAGTGTGGCTTGAGGATTCAAACTCTCACCATTCTATAGCAAATGACTAACTCAATTCACATTCACAATGAAAAAGTTATTCACACAAGTGTTTCTCCTTACAAATTGAAAGGAAAAGCCCGTAACACTGAAAAAGAACTTGGCAAAGTCTAGCTGGTTTTCCTTGATCCTTCCTTCATTACCTGACATAGAACCCAGGTCATAATAGGTGTAACAAAGCATTTCTTAGAGGAAGCAAAGAAGAAATCAGCTAGAATGTACACAGCTTCACTTTTATAGATGAAAGTATTATCAATGAGAGATTTTGCTCTCACCACATCAAACAATTGAGAACAAGGTCACTCACATAAAATCACATGGGCCTTTTAACAGACAGAGTTTTTTTCTCGCTTCCTGAGGTACAGTCTCCAAAATGCAGTTCAAGGTCCTCAGAGCCTTTTGTGAGGAGAAGATATTCAGGATGGGGAAACAAGACATAGATCATTATAAAACTTTCTCTGAGCTTCTGTTACTGTTAACACATTGTGCGCAACTCACCTCCTGCCCAATCGAATTATTCAGCGACTTTTCTGTCATCAGGAACCCTAAACTAAATATGAAGGAATCCAACATCTGAGTTTTCCCTGAAAGCATAATTTTGATGATTAAAACTTATGCTAATAAGATGATCCCTACACAACAGGAGTCATGGAAAAAAACAAAAGAAATATGGGAACAGCAAATTTTTCAGAAATTTCATCTGAATCTTCACTCAATTCACAACAAAAAGTTTTTATAAAATAAAAAATTATAATCTGGGCAAGAACAAATTACAGCCTGCTTCAAATTACAGGGACCCCACCCTAAGTCCCAATATCCTAGAAAATAACAGCAATATACACAAAGAGTTACTGTTCCTGGTGATTATCATATTCCCAGCAAGACTCCCTTTTTTTGAATGGAATACACAAAGTGTGAAAGCCATTTCCTACACTTTCCCGTTGTTTCCATGTGATCCTCTGTGGTGGTTGTGAAACGCTGCTTCGTTGGTTCATAGAAACGCGTGAAGATTCATAGAGACCCTGTGGCCCATTGCTTCACCTACAGCACCACCCAAGTTCTTCTGTGTGCTCCTCATATTTGTGTATTTTGTAAAAATAAAAATGTTATACAGTATTGGACTAACACAGAAGCAGACACTGTTTCATAAGTGTTGCTCTTTAATTAATAAGGTAATCAGAGAAACCTCAGCTTCTACTTAACTTATCAGAGGTCTTCATAAAGTTTGTGGAAAAAATGGAGAAAAAAATATTGGAATTTTCCCCAAAACTTTGGAAGCCCCCTTGTGTATCAGCGCATAGTATAAATGAGGGTATATGGCAATGTTATATGCTTATTAAATATTAAGCATCTGATTTCATTTACTCCTGTTAAATATGAAATAACAATGGTGTGCAGATGTATGATTTTGATATATTAATTATTTAACACTGGGCTCATGCATAAATTTCCAGTATTAAAATTTCCTCAATGCAAGATGGCACCCATTGTAGGATTTAGATGCAATAACAAATTTTCAAAAAGAAAAAAGATGTATCCTATGAAAAAAGACCTCTTAATTTAAGATGCCTCAATTTATGAAGTGCTCCAATACTTTAAAGGCTTTTAATCTATGATACCATTAATTCAAAATGTCCAATTACTTTTAACTGGAGCCACAATGAACAAAATTATAAACTTCTAAGATTTCACCTCTTCCATGTTTGAAGATATAGGCACTTCAACCAGCTCCAAGCTAAATCAGCAACAGCTGCACAGGCTGGTTTACAATGTAAAATACACTCTTCACACCTGAGTCAAACTAAGTAGACAAATGGTATGTCATATTGAGCTAAGTAAAAATTCACCTCAGGTAATCAAAGACATTCAACATCATTATTATTCTAAGCAGTCACTAAAGTCAAATCATAATTTCTAAACCAATTTTACTTTTCTATCTTATTTAAATATTTGTTTCTCTGTATCAAAATAGTCTACTAAGGAAGAATTTTAAGTAGGCAAATAATGTACTTACCTTGATTACTATTCCTTGAAATAATCTAAAAAAAAGGTGAGTATAAAAATTAGCATCATAAACAATAACTACATTGATGCTTTCATTTCTGGAATAGGTGGAAAACTTTTACATAGTGAAGTCTATTTGAGTTCAGTTAATCAGCTTATCACCCTCAATTAGGTAAGTAATATATTTGCATGTCTCAAAATGAATCATCTCATTTTTCTATAACATTGGATATGTTGGTTAAATATGTGCATATATCTGTATTTATCTACCTACCTATACAATCAATCTCAATTTCTATTTCATATATCTTAATAATGAAATATGGGAGTCTACTAGCAAAGAAACCAAGATGGCCTCAATTACTGAAATGAGGAATAGCAATCACTTGAAGATTTCTGAAAATCAACAATGGTATCTGTTCCTGAAGCATCCACTCCCATCCTTACCACTGCTGTGTCAAAGAAGTCTTTTATGGCCGTAACCAGGGATATGTCTGCGGCTTCATCTTCCTTAGTGAGAAATCTGACTGTCTCTTCAAGCCAGGAAACCATGTGCACAGAAAAAGACACAGAGGCTGAATCATGCCTGATGAAGTAACTAATGAAAAAGTATTCAATAGAATGTCAACAGATAGCACACCCACTATTTTAAAGACCTTTTTTCTATTCTACATCATTTTCAATTAGATTTGGTTCTAGAGGCCTCCAGCTTTAGGATTGAGTTATACTGCTACAAGTTGAAATGAGTCAATTCTCAGATATGAGCAAGAATTGGGAGAGTTCACTAGGATTGGTTAGGAAAAGTCCATATACTGGTTAGTGGGAAATGTTTGGAGCCCTTCAGTGAGGTCAACTATTAAACATGCTCAGCTGCTAACTGAAAGGCTAGAGATGGCAGTGCACCCAATGGTGCTTTGGAAAAAAGCCTGGTGATTGATCAACTGCCCAAAATATCAGCCATAGAAAACCTAATGAAGCACAGCTCTACTCTGACACAGATGGGGTGGCCAGGAGTTAGAACTCACTTAACAGCAACTGTAACATGTAGTAAATGAGGTTTTAAAAACTGATGAGCCTCTCCCAATTCAAGGGAAGTTCTTGTAATCTGAGAGCAGTAAAATATAAATTATCAAAGGATGGTGGTTATAATAAATCTGTCTCAGGCCTGGCTACTTTTTATTTATTCATTTTTGCCAAAATCGTCCAAGCTAATCACAGAATCTCTTCTTCTCTAAGAGCAAACATGCAATTTCACATTAAGATACAAGTACTGGGTATAATTTAGGATGTTGTTATTAAGTGTCATTGAGTCGTTCTCAATTTATAGCGACCCAGTATAGGATTTCTGAGGAACAGCTGGTAAGTTTGAACCACCAACCTTGTGGTACAAACTGACCTTGCAGTTGAGTGTTTATCCTACAGCTCTACACCAAAACAAACTTCTATAAATCCTTCTAGAAAATATGTATTCAGTAAAGTAAAGGCCATGTTTAGACATTTTTGCTGAGACTAGTCACTCCTAGAAAAAAAGAAAAACATCTTGCATGTACACTAAAAACTAGCTGTTTAAGGGCACGTGTCTGACTTATATCCTGTACACCATGCAAAGCATCCTGCAGAGCACATACATATGGAAGCGTGGGCTAAATTTGTCTCTAGTGCATCTACGCAATATGCATCAGTACCAATCTATGTCCTAATTTAATTCCAAAGGAACTGAAAATACCAAACTTGACACTTTAGTTCTACACGTTATCCAAAGTTATACCAAATTCAAATTGTGACACTTATCTTTGGGATCAGCCCCTGCTGAATTAGCAAAGGTTCTTCTGTGAGGTCATCCAGTAAGAATCTCTGAATACTCCTCAGCAACAGTGAAACATACGGAAACTTATTGTCATTCAGTTCCTAGATATTAGACCACATGAAATTAAAACACTTACAAATGATTATATGTTAGTATTCTGGTCACATGACAAAACAATGTACTTGCCTTATTTATTGATCTATCAAGCTGGTATAATAGAAGATGATCGTATTCTTGAGGAACATAGCTCTCTCTCTGTTGAAAGTATTCTTTTAATTTCCAATATCCCTTACCAAGGAATACATCAGTAATGCATGATTGAAGCTGGAAAGTTGATAGTTTACAAATTACCTTTTATGTTCAAGAACATGTTTCATAGTAAATTCCCAACTAATTACCATTATCAATAAAAATTCTGGGTTAAAGTAATATAGGACAAGCATAGAATAGAGATCTATATCTTGAAGTGTAAATAACCATTTACCAAGTGATTGACATTGTCTTGGTTTAAGACAGAAGTTCTCAAACTAGGGTTCCTGGGACACCAACAAAAGCCCTGGTAGAGTAATGAAGAGCTCAGCTGCTAATAGGAAGGTCAGTAATGTGAACCCACCAGTTGCTCGTTCCATATAAGAAAGATGTGAGTCCACTTCCCTATTGTGTCTCTGCTATGCCTTGTAATCAACTTCCAGGTGACTGGGAATGGTTTTGGGTTTTTTTTGTTTTTTGTTTTTTTTTGGTTTTGGAGCACCTGCAAGATCAGTTCAACCTGGGAACTTATTAGGGGGTTGGGCCTTCCAGATGATGCTGATAAATGCTCAAGTTTGAGAGCCCTTGACTTAAGGAAAACTATATTCTAATATAATATCGCTGCTGGAGTCCTGCAGGATAATGCCCAAGACTGCAAGGTCAATGGTTCAAACCCACCTGCCACTTCTCTGAAACCTTATACAAGGACACTATGAGTTGGAACCGACTAGATGGCACCTAACAACAAATTTGCTGCAGCTGCTGCATGCTGTCAAGTCAGTTCCAATTCATAGGGACCCTGTATAGGGGTTTCGATACTGTAAAACTTTACGGAGCAGAAAGCCTCATCTTTCTCTAGCAGAAACGCTGGTAGTTTTGAACTGCTGACCTTGAGGTTAACAGTCCAAAATTCATAAACTGCTATGGTTTATATAAAAACTTTATGTTCACTAATTTTAGAAATTCTAAAGCACTAAAATTTCAAACTCATTATCACTTAGTGACGTTAATGGAAGAAAAATTAATTCAAAACTTACCGATAAAAGCTGATAATAATTAGCCAAATTTAGTGATAATGAAATCGATCTTTTCTCCCTGAACATTATCTGAGACTTACTTCTAAGTATAGCTATGACAGTAAATAGAAAAGTACTGAAACCTTTACTCAACAGAAATACCAAAATGTGAAATTATTGTTTCTTGGCATATCTTCCATCTAGGTCTAAACGCTCTGAAGGTGGTGTTTCCAGCTCTCTATCCCTTCCTCCAGAGGAAACCTAAGCTCTTCAATTTACACATAACAACAGTTTTGGTGCAGCGCTGTGGGATAATGCACTGGACCGAAAAGTCGGTTTGAACCACAAGCCCTTCTTTTTAGTTCTAATTTAAATGGGGAAACATTTAAAATGATTCCATTTAGCAGACTATTTTCTTTTTTTAAGCTTTCACATAAGGAGTTGTTTTGTTTTTTTAAGTCAAAAAGTGTCATGTATTCTACAAATGTTCTCATTCAAACTTCACCACCCTCCTCAAAAGTTAAGTCTTTATTTGGAGATAAGAATACCAAGGCTGGGAAAGGTTAAGGGCTCTCAGGTGAACACAAAGCTGGGATTCATACCCAGATTACTCAAATAGAAACTCACACTTCACACCTCCCTCCCTCCCTCCAAATAAAGCTACATTCTGGCTTCTTTGGCTGAGCTCTATGCATCATCTAATGTATGGCAAATTCCTTAGTCTGACTCTGCCCCTCTTGAGTAAAGCTCTTCCGTGCCTCAGGGCCTCTGCACTGCCTATTCTATGCCTAACCAGCTTCACCCACCATTTTCCCTAGGGCTTTGCTTCTTGTCACCTTTCAGACCACAGTTTAAACTGCCTTATCTTGGTGTGGCATTGTGGGTTAACGCACCAGAACTGCAAAACCCTTTGAACTGCAAGGTTGCTAAGGGTCCAAACCTGAAGACATTTAACAACATCTTAAAGAGGCTAAGAGTCATTAGCCTCCAATACCCCAGATAATCTCCATCACAATAGCCTAGTTTTTCTTTTCTTTCTGGTTAACCTGTTTCTTGCTCCTGCCATGCCTGCCAATAGTAGTCCTGGTGTGACTGTAAAGGTCAACGGTTCAAACCCACCAGCCTCTCCTTGGAAACCCTATACAGGGTTGCTGAGTCAGAGCCAACTCAATGGCACTAAACAACAACCACCTGGCAGTTAACTCTGAGGGCATGAACTTTCTAGGTTCTAGTTCTAGCTCACTCAAAAACTCACTACCACCAATTCACAGCGACCCCGTAACGGGTTTCCAGGGCTATAAATCAATCTTTTTAAGGGAGCAGAAAGCTTCATCGCCTCCCTCAGAGCAGCTGGTGTGTTTGAACTGCCAACCTTTCAATTAGTAATACAATGCTTACACTACAGCACTACTAGGGTTCCTTGCTTTACCTACATTTAGAATAATGCCTGACATAACAGAGCCTAGACTAGGATGCTGGTGAAACAGTTGAAGTTAAAATGGATAACAATTTGGACATGGAAGAGGCAGAGATGCAGCAATGGAAACTGTTTCTGACTTGAGCAACTTGGCAGACCAACTATGTGATAGCTACCCAGGAAACCCAGGATTACTACCAGGCTACGTGTCAATGTTACATGTTGCTTACACTGTCGCAAACCGAAATGTGGAGAAATCAGGCCCATTAAGGAAAAATTGAAATTTTGTGAGTGAGGGTGGTAGTCACAAACCATCATTTTTGCTCTGTAGCACTTTACTGTGGTTAAGTGCCATTAAGTACATTCGAACTCATAGCACTCCTTCAGAGGGTATCCGAGGAGGGACTGGTGGTTTTGAACCAATGACTTTGTGTTTAGCAGTCTGGTGCTTATCCTACAGTGCCACACCAATACTCCTTTAATGCTTTGTTATTAAGTGATATCGAGTAGGTTCTGACTCATAGTGACCCTGTATAGGGTTTCTGAGGCGTGGTTTGTGAGTTTGAATTGCCAATCATGTGATTCAAACTGACCTTGCAGCCCAGTGCTTATCCTACACAAAGCTGGGGGGGGGGGGGGGGGCGGAATGCTAGTAAATCCAAGGTATTAAAAGTAAAAACTAAGACAAGTTAAAATATCTTAGTAAAGATCTTGTGCACACACACACACACACACACAAAGAACAAAAACTAAGTTTGATTTTTACCCAGAAAACATCTTGCAATATTCTACTCTTGGTTTTCTTAATAGATGGCAATGGACCTTTTTTCTGTATACAATTTTTTAAAAAAATTTTAAACATCTTTATTAAAAATTGCATTTCCAATTTTAAAAATAAGAAAAAAGGAAGGTTTTTATTTTTTCATGAATGTAACACCTTTTTATTTACTCATGTCATTGATTATAGGATTAAGTGAAGACACTACTTTTGTAAAACTTTCCCCAAGCTTTTTAACATATGCTGTGACAATTATTATACAAACTACTACAAGAAATACCATAAGACTAGTAATAAAAATAAATTTATACTCTCTAGAGTGATGACTGAAAATACGAAAAAGTTTTGGATAATCTTTTCAGAATGAAATTTTATACAGTTTAAATAAAAAGGTTCTTTCAAGCCCAATTAAGAACTTTACGCTTTATGTTTTTGATTTAGCTAAATTTTAAATGTTAACTCTAAAGACTTAAGTGCCATAAAGTCATTTCTGACTCATGTTGTAGTTGTTAAGTGAGGTCAGTCAGTTCCAACCCACAGCGACCTTGGTATGGTGTTTCCCAGGAGCTCTTAGTGAGTTTGAAGTGCGGGACCTTGTGGTTCAAAGTCCTTCGTCTCAATAGAACTCTTAAAACTTTGTTGTTGTTACTGTTAAGGGTTGTTAACTTTAAGACTACTATGTTGTTGTTAAGTGCTGTTAGTTGGTTCCCACCCAAAGTGACCCGGTCCATACAGGGTTTCCAAGGAGAAACCGGTGAGCTTGAACCACTGACCGACCATGCTGCATGTTCAAGCTGACTCTGCAGATCAGTGAACTAACCCACAGCACGACACCAAGACTCTGACCCAGTATAGGGTTTCCAAGAAGCAGCTTGTGAATTTGAACTGCTGACCGTGGTTAGTAGAATTCAGTGCTTACCTAACATCGCCACATCGGTCCCATGCTTATGGCCACATTCACTCTAAGACTCTTGTTGCCGTTAAGTGCTGTGGAGTCCGTCTGCTCATAACAACCCTGTATAGGGTTTCTAAGGAGCGGCGGGTGAGTTTGAACTACTGACCTTGCGGTTCAAGTCCAGCGTCACACTAGGACTCTAAAACTTTGTTGTTGTTGTTAAGTGCCATCGAATCGGTTCTGACCCATAGTGACTCTGTATAGGGTTTGCGAAGAGCAACTGGTGAACTTGCAGTTCAAACCGACCTTGCGGTCCAGTGCATTCAGTCCCACACCAGGACTGAAATTTAAAAGACCCAAGGCCAACAAGAACCACAAGCTAAGTGGCCCTTGGGTCTAACTTCCAGGTTTTCATAATACTCGGCGGACTCACCTGTACTCACTTCAACCCAACAGTTCATTGGAAAATGTAATACACAAAAAGTGTTTTTAAAAATCTCTACTAAAGAATTGACTTTTAAGAAACCTATTTTAAGTTTAGGAGCTCCGGGAGTGTAGTGGTTACGAATCGGGCTGAGAACCTCAAGGTCACCAATTCGAAACTACCAGCTGTTCTACTGCAGAAAGATGCTCCCGCGTAAAGATTCACAGCCTCGGAAACCCTGTACAGGGTTGCTGAGTCGGAACCGACTCCACCGCACATAAAAACCTTTTAAGCTTAGAGTTCGATTTCTTTACGAGTTTGACCAAAGCCCTTAAATGTCAGCAAATTTTAAACTCGACACAGCACTTAATAAGGTTATTTGTAAACATGAAAAATAAGGCAAAGTTAAATATCTAAATCCTGATTTTTTTTCTTTTTTTACTAGCCAAGTAAGTATTCAGTTAGACGAAAGACTTAAAAGTAGGAACTATGGCTGAACTTATTTCCGGCCTCGGAACAGAGTCGCTATGAATCGGCACTGACTCCAAAGCACATAACCACCATCACCACGGCTGAACTAAGCCCCCTGGGTCAGGAGCACCTTCGGCATTAATTTGCAATCCTGGTAGAAGAAAAAGAACCCTGTTTGTGCAATTAAACGTTGGGCTGAGAATTGATAATCGATCCGAGGTTGAAATCTACCAGTCTCTCAGCGGTAGAAAAATAAAGCTGTACCGTAAAAATATAGTCTTGGAAACCCAACTCCGGCCTATAAAGTCGCTGACAGTCACAAGCTACTCACTGGTAACTAACAACAGGTTGGAGTCAGGGGTTGGTTAATCACTGTGCACATTTTACATACACAAGGCGGGGGGAGGGCTGGAAAACATCCGACTAACTTGAAAAGTACTACCTTCCAGACTCCAGAGAGTTCCCTTTTCCTATTCTGCCTCATAGTCTCATTGAAAGCTGCCACAACAAAAGGCCCCTGTGGCCCGTCCCTTGCCTGCTGTACTGCACACGCTGTCCCTGGGCGACATGCGAAGGCTCTGCACACTCCAGGCAAGCACCTCCGGACTGATCACGCTCCAAGGTCCGGGCGCCACCTAGCCTCCTGGGACAAAGATAGAGAGAAGGCCAGGGTTTGTTGGCCGCCGAGACCCTCCCGAGGTCACTCACCGCCCGCCGCATCCTGCAACTCGCAGTCGGACTCAGCTCCGGTTCTGACGGCCCGGATTTAAGGCAGCTGCTTCTACTCCACGCTCTTAAATTAACAGCAGCTGGTGTTCAGCCTCCGTACGCCGGGGCGCCTGGGGCCACGAGCACCTGGAGTGCGGATGACTACAGGGTCGGAATCTCGGGCAGAACTCGCTTCCGAAATCTCCTAGCACCTTTTGTTTGAATTTCCTAGAATTGTGTGCAAGTAGGTAGTCGCCCGCACCCAAGTATCCTGGGCCTGAAGGAAAAGTTGTTACTCCCAGGATATGGAAAAATGTACTTTAAATATTCTTTGCATTCGAAATTCCTAACCGATGGGGGTCCGTCCCCTCTTTGAAAACCTACCTCCGGCTTTCACTCCACTTTTAAACACCTTCCGTTCATTATTCAGCCTTTGGAACTAAAACCCAAAATTGTGAATAAATTCCTGATATCACATAAAAAGAGTGTGTGCTTTCTTACTTTGTTTTAAGTACCCTGATTGTACTCAGTGGGGGAAAACAAAGCAAATATTTTCATCCAATTTTGCCTTTCAATGCCTCAATCCCGCAGGTCTGAAGCCAGCAGCTGGCGCCCTGTAGCGTTCTCACAGTGGCAAAAACTAGTTAGTAGCTCCTGAGTTTTCTTTAACAAAAGTTTTCTTTAAAAAACAAAAATGACACCTGAAACCGAATCATACTTTAAGTAAAACCCGACCTGCTTTACAACTACATACAATGGGTAATTCGTGCCATGTTTCCCGAAGGCATTTGTTTATATCAAAGCAAAACATAACCAGAATCCCTGTTAGTAAACTCAGGATTGCAACGCGCCTTCAGTACATTCAAATCTGCTTATTTTTAACCATGTCATTTCTTCTTCTGGCAAAGATAATGTAAATACTCTTAAAGTATCCCTGGTGCTAACTGAAAGGTCGACTGTTCGATTCCATCTGCAGCTGCATGGGAGACAAAAGTGATAGCCACCTTTACAACCTTGGAAACCCTCTGGAGCAGTTATACTCTGTCATGTAGAATCACTAGGAGTTAAAGTGCTACTTTAGAGACTATAATAAATTTTACTTTAGAAACTATAATACATTTTTCTTAATTTTAGACAGGATCCTGGTGAGGTGATGTAGGATAAGCACTAAACCACAAGCTTGGTTTGAAGTGCAAGGTCACCGGTTTAAACCCACCAGTCACTCCTGGGAAACCCTATACAGGGTCACTATGAGTCGGAACCGACAAGAAGGCACTTATCAACAACAACTTTAGAAAAATTTAAACTGAATTATTTTCATACATCTGGGGGAAGTATTTCTTCCCAAACTCTAAAGTTGTAAAAAGGTATTCAAATAGTCTGGTAAAAATAAAGATAATAAACAACTTATTTATTTTATCTATTTTCATTTGGGTTATCTTCTTTGCTAATGTTTTATACCCATACATAATTTGGGGCAACCTAGAATATATGTTATTATATAATTATTCTCTAAATATGGTGGAGGCTTTATGGCATGCCTTTGGATGCCAGAATCCATTAAGAAATAGTATCTGATTAATCAAATAGTGTTTCTCATTAAAAACGTCCTTTTTTTTTTTTTTTTTTAAGGTGGTGGTGTGTGGTGGAGTGGGTTCCGATTCCTCGCATTTCTTAGGGTTTCTGATGCTGTAAATCTTTAGGGAGCACAAAGCCTCATCTTCCGCGTGGTGGGTGCTCAATTTGTAACGCTAAAGGCTGTCTTGGAACATTATAAAAGCTTGGGGACGAACTATTCTAACAACGTTTATCTTATCGTTAAGCAATAAGACAATACATGAAAACAATATTGATTCGGACGCATAGTGAGGCAAGGAGCTGCTGGTTGAACTGCCAACCTTGTTAGTGGTCCAGTGATTGTCATACAGGACCACAATAATTATGCATTCTTGGAGGTAAGTTTAAATGACTATTCTTGAAGTTTTATCTTTAAGTATTTTATAGTTTAAATGACCGACAACCAACACATTTGATTTGTGTAAATTAAATGAAGTGTCAACAGCTGTAATATTTTAAAAACAAAACAACGGCAGGAGTTGCGGGATCTTGGGCAGTGGGGTTAATAGAAAAGTCGGTGGATGAAACTATTGGGAGAAGAGAAGATATATCTCTCGTGGTTTCCTCCTAGACCTTCATGGTGACCATTTGAGAGCGATTTAAATCGTAAGTCCTAACTGGCATGACCTTTCAGGAATAGGAAACTGCAGAGAAGGAGAGTTTGGTTTAAATAAATGGAAGAAGAAAGCGTGCGAAATTGCCTTCTCCCTCCGCCTTCCCCCCCCTCCCCCCGAAGTTCTGCCCAAGTTTGCTGCTCCGAAATTGGCTTCGTCGTTGAATTGTCTTGTCGTTGAATTGTCTTTTCAAAGCAAAATGATGCCCTTGTTTGAGACTGTTTGGCACAGACTAGGGTCAACAGTCTCTAGCCTGGGCGCTCAGCCTCCGCCTCCCCCGAAGCATCTGTCGGTGCGCCTGAGGGCGCTCAGTGGGGCCAGTATGGGATTCTTAGACCACGTGTTTGGATGTGGGCTTGCAGAATTGTCCTCTTAACAGTGCTCTTATGTTCAGGACGAGTTAGGGCTGGGAAAGGGAGCTGGGAACTCCGGGAATTCGTCTGTCTTCCCTGCCCAGGCTTAGATTCAAGTGGGGGCCAAAATCGACATAAATCGTTTCAATCGATTTCTTTTATTGGGCACTTCCTAGTACCGGATCCCCCAAGCCAGGTCAAATGCTCAGGTGAAGAAGGCGAGAGTTTTCCTAGCCCTGGGAAGACCATAGCGTCCTCCACTTAACCTATTCCCCGCTAGGGTCTGCTGGACTGAGGTCAATACGATTCTGTCTTTTGGCGTGGTATACCTACAGCAATACCAATGAAGACAGTGGTTTGGTTTGGGGATTATTCTCGGGGGGGGGGGATTATTCTTTTTTAAGAATTATTTCAGGTGGGTGGCAACTGAGCCCTTACCGAATTCCAGTCACTTCTTTAACATAAAAGAATTGGAGGCTCAGAGAGATCCACTGCACAGAGAGAACTGTGTGCCCTCGATCAGAGCTCACCACCCTTCCTCCAAAATCCCGCGGACTCAGTTCCGGGCTCTCCCTCTCCCCGCCCCACCCCTGTCCACCCCCACGCCTTAGGCCAGAATGCAGTGTTTGATGCTCCCTGGAACTCTCAAACAGGTGAGCACCACCTCTGGACATGTAAGCAGGAGGGTCCTCTAAGCAGTTTTATTAACCAAGCAGTTTCCTTCACCAATTGTGAGAGACCATTTAGCAAGTCAAAACAAATTCTTTCTTATTTCAGAGCTTCCATGGGTCAAGGAAGAGCCTTGGTGTGGTGCTGCGGGTAAATACGCCGGGACTGCAGCATCGGTTTGAACCGCAAGGTAGGCGGTTCAAGCTCGCAAGCCTCTCCTAGGAAACCCTACAGTCGATATGAGTCGGAACCGAGTCCACGGTACTTAACAACTACACAGGTTAAGGCAGACTCTGAGTTTGTTCTGCTGAATGTAGAAAAAGAAGAAATGGGGGAGGGATGACGGAGCAGATTGTAGATAAACTTTCATCATAGAAACCATTGGAAGGTGCAGTTGTCATTTTCATGGAGCGCCATAAAGTATTAAAATTTAAGAGCTTGCCTTGTATTTTTGTGCTGATGTAATGGTAAAGTGGACTCCTGGTGTGGCACTGTAGGGTCAGCTTTTCAAACCCACCAGCTGCTCATCAGAAACGCTATACACTGGTCACTAAGAGTTGAAACCGACTCCACAGCACTTAACAACAACAACACAATGGTGGTGGTTATGTGCTGTGGGGTCGGCTCCTACTCATAGAGACCCTGTACAGAATGGTAAAGGTATATAAAAGATGCTGTTAGATGTTTGGACCGGGGCTGCTTCTCACAAGCGTCATTTTTCATAGAAATGCGTCTGCTTGGAAGAGCTAGGAATAGGCCCAAAGAGGACGCTCCCCAAATGGAGAGGTGGACACCATTAACTGGACTGAGACACGGTGGCCAAGGATCCTTTATGCGATACCTACTCTGTCTCGGAATTGAGTTTGCTCTCAGGGGACTTTGCTAGAAAACCCGCACCTCAAAAACCTCCACAAAAGCCTGTGGAACCTTAGAATTGGGCGCGGTTAGATAAAGTGGTTTCAACTTCAAGGAACCATTCCAACCCACATCCCTTTAATATCTTCAGTTTCCTTTATGCCCCAAGAGCTCAGCTCAACCTCCTCCTCCGTCCCTGATTCTGTCTGGGAGGAGAGTGACTCTGCATCGCTGGCGTGGCTGCGGGGCGCAGGCTGCGCGGAAAGGCGGGGCGCGGGGAGGTGTAGCTTTATAAAGACGCGGGCAGCCTCCCCGCGCACCGTCGCTGAGGTCCAGGTGGAGAGTTTTCAGCACTGTGGATAGGGCCGCCTCTGGATTTCTAACAGCTCGCTCTCTTTTTCAGTCTCTTTCCCTCCTCCCCACATACAGACATACACACAGGAATAATTCACTATCTTTTTAAAGAGGAAAAAAGTCGCCTGGAGCACGTCTGGCTTTTTTTCTTCCCTCTTTTCAGGATCCTAAGCTGAGAGTTGAGCGAGGTGGAACAGATGCCAACGGACACAGAGCAGAAGGCGGACTACCTATGCTCCTATGGGATGAAGTTCAACTGGGACATCAACGACCCACAGATGCCGCAGGTGTGTGAAACCAGGTGTGTGTGCCCACGCTGTCCATGCAACGACTCTGTGCACAGACCCCCTACAGCAGCCCTCAAACTTCTCTGAACTGTACAAATGTTAGCTCTGAGTTTAGGGAGGTGCCTCCTCGCAGCTCTTCTGTGAACTTTGCTGAGAACACATCCAATAGGGACTGGGAAGTGTTCTTCCGGCCCCACATTCTCGGCCCTCAGTTGGGGGTAGGGTGCCTCCCATTCACTCTTCTTTAACCCAGGGTTACTTTTGGTGTAGAAACTGGTAACCTCTCTTCCTTGTCCAATCTTTGAAATCCAGAAGAAAGTTACAGAAAAAAATAATCTCACCATATATGGTGATTGTGTGTCTATGAGTCCGTTCTGACTCTGTGCATAGCGACCCTGTACAGGGTTTCCGAGGCTGTAAATCTTTACAGGAGCAGAAAGCCTCATCTTTCTCCTGCAGAACAGCTGGTAGTTTTGAACTGCTGACCTTGCGATTCGCAGCCCGATTTGTAACCACTATGCTACCAGAGCTCCTTTCACCGTATATAAATGTCCTTATTTCCCACTCCACAAAACTAAGATGCCTGAGTCTTAAACAAGTAGTGGGACCTGGGCATGTTTACACAGACACTGGTGATGCCTGAAAGCAGCCCAGTACCACTATCACAGCCATCAGGATCCTCTGTAGTTCAGATTTGAGGCTAACTTGTTAGCTTATTTCTTCTCTCTTTCAGGAAATCTTTATCCGTTAAGGGTGAATTTCTTTTTTCTTTTCCTTTTTTTGCTGCTGAAAGTCATTTAAGACCATGTCCAAGGAATGAGATGGGAAATATGTTCATTCATATTCATTTGGGTCACCAACTAAGGAGTAACTTTTGAGTTCTGGGTGTATGTGGAGGGAGGCTCAGAATGACAGAGGATGGCAATATGGCATAAAGGGTAAGATGTGCATACATTCAGCATCAACTCCGTGCCAGGTAGGCATTCAGTTGTATAGCAACTTCACTAGCAAAATTGTGTGGTCTCTCAAAAAGATTACACTTTTTTAGGATGTACTCATTTGTATAGGTTTGTGTTTGTTTTAAAGTCTCCATACTTGGAGACTCACTATGGCATCTTGTTGAAAGAAGACCACATTACACTCTCACTGGCTTCTATACACAAAAGACTTCATGAAAAACAACCTAATACTGAATTTAGAAAAGAGCCACATCCAGATATAAGAGGGCTTCTAAAAGATTGTGAAAAAAATGGAAGTGAAAGACAATGGAATTTTCTCATGAACTTTTTGAGGCCCCTCGTAATGTAAAACTGACTCATGTCACAAGAATGGTCAAGACTACCTATGTAAATATGAGTTGTTTTTCTTTGGAAGACTGGGTCTTAAGCAGCGGGTGTGGTGACATCTTCAAGGGACAGCTACACCGGGGGGAGAACTGGAGATGGCACTTGTTGTCCTAGCTCCGCTCTGGCTCTCTGGGTGAGAGAGTTGAGCTGACAGCATGACCTTGAGAAGGTCCCTGAACATGCTTAGTCTCAGGCTACATGCCTGTCATCAAGAGGTGGGACTAGATAACAATCTCAACTTTACCTTCTGATCAGTGTGTGCGCGAATGAGTGCAGTGATGCTTACGCCAACACATCAGAGCAAATGAAATCCAATCCCGGAATCCTCTGCTGTTTTGTTTTAAAAATACTGTCTAGGTAGCTTCACGTCCAGGATCAGTAACGTATGAGACAGGTGGGCCTAGTCTACAGCCTTAGAGGAAAATACTAAAAAATGCTCTTCTCTTCTGAGAAAATGTCAATTTGGTACTAAGATCCTCAAAGTGAAATGTTACCTTTAAAAATAAAGACATTTAAAGACAACGCTGGTACCTGCCATCATGTTGGTACTAACCCTTAGTGACCCCATATAGGATTTCCAAGGAGCGGCTAGTGAATTTGAACTACCAGACTTGCAGTTGAAACCAATATTGCGGTCGGTCCAGTGCTTATCCTCCAGTGCCACAGATAGTTCTGTATTACACATTCTACATTAGGTCAACATATTAATGCGTGTCAGTTGTAATATTTCTGAGAAAAGTGAATATTTATTAATGATTATTTTAACATTATCCTTGTGGTTTTGGAAACGAAACCACTCATTTACTTTATTAATGTTATAATGTGCATTATTAATGATGTATTGAAATCTGAATTGGCCAACTGAGAATATTTGTGCTTTGCAAACGCTGACTCTAATTTTCCTGGGGTAGCAAGAGGGACTTACAAATGGCTACTACTCTGATAATATTCTCTGGACTTTTATCAGATGAAAAAAGCCAATGGACCCTAGCTATCCATGAGATCTCTGTCTAAATGCCAGTTCTGCCCCTATGGAAGTTTATCTATCTAATCTCCATTTCTTTACTTATAAATAAGAGTAAGGATGCCCCTCTCTTTGCAGAGTTGTTGAGAGAACTGCAGATATTATAGGGAACATCTAGATCAGTATGGCTTTGTAAGTCATATTCTCTGTCCCAACTCTGCCCTAGTAGTGTAAAAGGAGCCAAAGACAATAAGTAAATAAATGCACTTGGTTGTTTTCCAATAAAACCTTATTTATGAGTACTAAAATTTAAAGGATCTCTGGTTACATAGTGGGTTTCAAGTTGAACTGCTAACTGCAAGGTCAGCAGTTCAAAACTTCCAGCAGCTCTGTAGGAGAAAGATGAGGTTTTCTGTTCCGGTAAAGATTTACAGCCCTGGAAACCCTGTGGTGGTGATGGTGGTAGTGTATCATGGAGTCAATTCTGACTCATAGTGACCCTGCATACAGGGTTGTTATGAGTCAGAACCAATTCCCTGGCACATAACCACCACCACCACCACCACCACTAAAATTTGAATTTCAGACAATTTTCATGTGCTACAAGATAGAATTCTTTTAAAAATTTGTTCCCAAGCTGTTTTAAAGTATAAAATCCATTTTTAGCATACAGACAACAGGCCAGATTTGGCCAGTGGTCACTCGTTTGCTGACCCCTGCCCTAGAGAGTGTTTGGTAAATGGTAATTTTATATTAAACTTGTGAGGAGGAAGCCATTCTTGCTGTGTAAGTAATGCATCCGGTGGACAAAACTCACCATGTGTTAGTGCCGCACAGTGCTCAGTATGTTATCTATCACTTGTTATGTCTGCTCGGTGGCTCTTTGTTGAGGATGGCGATCCCATTCTTCTCTGGGAAGAGATACAACAGCTCTGCAGCCTGCTCCAGGTGTGTCTTCAGGAACTTCATCACTCAGTTCGATTTTTTAACTCAGAAGGCTGTTTAGCTGGAAGTAGGGAGGTGGAGGCTCTATCCTTACCCTTTAGATTGTGCTCTAGATATCATTGCTGATGTGACTGGCAAGTTATGAGTAGAGACAAGAACTTTTAAAGAAAAAGCTCTGGATCTAAGTAAAACTATTTATAGGTGAAAGCTATTTATAACATTCTGATCACTTTTGATTCTTAACTTGAAAATGTTTTCAACACTTAAACACACCAAGAAGTGATTCAGCATTGTTCTAAGCTCAGGCTCTGGAGGTGGATTGTTCTGACTCAAATCCTAGAATTGACCTCTTGCTAGCTGTGTGGTCTAGAACAAGTTAATTAACCCCTCTGGCCTCAGTTTTCTAGTCTGTAAAATGGGGAGTACAACAGTACCTATTGTTTGTAGAGCCCTGGTATGAGGCTGTGGGTTAATGTGCCAGACTGCAATAGTGGATTGAACTGCAAGGTCAGCAGTTCAAACTCACCAGCTGCTCCTCGGAAACTCTATACAGGATCACTATGGGTTGGAACCAACTCAATGACACTTAACAACAGCAACATTGTTTGTGTGTGTTGTGAAAACTAGATGAAATTAATGCATGGTGACACAAACGGTTAAACACTGGTCTGAAAGGTTGGCAGTTTGAACCCACCCAGACGCAATGTGGATGACAACCCTGGTGATTTGCTTCTAAAAGGTCACAGCCTTGAAAGCTGTATGGAGCAGACTGTGCTGCATGGTGGGGTTGTCACAAGTCAGAACTGACTTTCTAGCAACAACTATAACAGCATTTAGCAGCCAAGCACAGAAAAGTGTACAGAGATTGCATGACTGCCATTTTTTGTGATGCCATGGGGTCTGGGCTTTACGTTTCTGAATTTAAAAGGAACTAGCTTTTAATGTGCTGGACTGCAAAGTTGGTTTGTTCAGCAAGGTAGGCAGTTCAAGCTCACCAGCTGCTCCCCAGAAACCCTAAACGGGCTTATTATCAGTTGGAACTGACTGATCAGCACTTAACAACAACAACAACCTGGTGGTGCTGTGGGTTAGGAGTTGCACTGTTAACCACAAGGTCGGCAGTTCAAATCCACCAGTCCCTCTACGGGAGAAAGATGAGGCTGCTAGCTCAAAGCCTATGTCATGTCCCAATGAGTCGAAAACTGTATGATGGCTGTAGGTTTGGTTTGGGGTTTCGGTTTAGTTTTCATTAAAATGCATTTGGAGAAAAATACAAGGCATAATGGGTGAAGCAGGAGCTTGACACACTTAACGACCCTGCCTTCTCTGTGCCCCTCACAGGAGCCCACCCACTTTGATCATTTCTGTGAGTGGCCCGATGGCTATGTGCGTTTCATCTACCGTGACGATGAGAAGAAGGCGCAGCGCCACCTGAGCGGCTGGGCCATGCGTAACACCAACAACCACAATGGTCACATCCTCAAGAAGTCGTGCCTGGGTGTGGTATTATGTGCACAGGCCTGTGCCCTGCCAGATGGCTCCCGCCTGCAGCTACGGCCCGCCATCTGTGACAAGGCCAGACTGAAACAGCAGAGTGAGTTCGGGGCCACACAAGGGTATGAAAGTCACAAATTCCCTACTTCCCACTTTCTTTCATCGGAAGGGGCATGATTGGGGTGGTTATTAATTACTATAAATATATATTTAATTACTTATTAGAATGAAGGTACTTAAATTTAATTATTTATTATATGTAATGGCTGAATATTATTCATTAGGAGTATGTATGGTCCAAATGGTTAAGCACTGGGCTACCAAACAAAACATTGACAGAATTTATCCCAAGGTACCTCAGAAGAAAGGCCTGGTGATCTGCTCTGTAGAATTTCTAAATTCTACAGAGCATACTTCGATTCTGATATGTTTGGGGTTGCTATGAGTTGGAATTGATTCTGATATGTATGGGGTTTCCATGACTTGAAATCAAATCAACAGCAACCAGTTTGGTTTGGCATCACTAATGATTTTAGTATGATTGGAATGACTATTTCTCCCTCTGTCTTCTACAGGGAAAGCATGCCCCAACTGTAGCTCCTCTTTGGAGCTGATTCCCTGCCGAGGGCACAGTGGATATCCTGTAACCAACTTTTGGCGGTTAGATGGCAATGCTATATTTTTTCAGGTAGGTGTGTTGGAACCATAGTATCTGACACATATTTTTATTCCCATGTGCCTTGGGAACTCTGGACCAAACCAAATGCATGTTTAATAAGACCAGAAACCTTAGCTGCAGCTCTCCAAAGGCCCTACCTGACTCAATAGAATTAGCTCACCCTGTGTGTGCCCTGTCATTTGAGCTCTAACCACCTAAGGACGAGTGATTGTGAACCCTGTTGTAGTTAGAGTTCATTTAGTAGGTTGAAAGGATTATGGATCATCTGATTTTTAGATGCCAGTGGCACTGTAAGATAAGCCTTCAAACACACCAACCCTGCTATGAGTCAGAACTGACTCCATGATGACGGCAATTAACAACAACATTACTAACGTTAAGGAGTCCTCATGGTATATTTGGTTAAGTGTTGGGCCGCTAACTGCAAGGTCAGGAGTTCAAACCCGCCAGCTGCTCCTAGGGAGAGTGATGAGGCAGTGTGGTCCCATAAAGATTTACAGTCTCAGAAACCCTAAGGAGCCGTTCTCCTCTGTTCTGTAGGATCACTAAGAGTCAGAATCAACTCATTGGCAGTGAGTTTGTTTGTTTTATTACTAATGACTGTATTAATATTTCACGATATTTTTTTCTTTCTTCTATCACTTGGAAAAAACAAAATAAACTTGGGATCTGGGAAAGGTCTCATCAATTTTGGGCCAACATTTCTTCAAAGGAACAGGTAAATATGCTTTATTTCTTCATTAATGCAGGCCAAGGGAGTTCATGACCACCCAAGACCAGAGAGTAAATCAGAGACAGAAGCTAGAAGAAGTGCCTTCAAGAGACAAATGGCCTCTTCTTACCAAGCCCAGAAGAAGAGAATGAGAGAGCCTGAGGTACCTGCAGAACTGACATCATGCTGTAGTTTGTGTTTATTCTCAGTGCAAAACATGCCGCTAATCGTGTGCCGTGTGAATGGTAGCCATTAGCTACAAAGGTTTGCTTTTTATGTGAAAATGATTTCTCCCTAACAAAAAGTCATTGAACCAATATTCAAGAGAGGATTGTTAATCCCTTCTTCTTCAAGAGAAACAAAAAACAGTACAAACTAACAACTTTGACTTGCAGTGATACAATCAAGATGCCTGCTATCTGCTGATGTCCTGCTGTTGGTGGTGTTGTTTGGTGCTGTTAGGTCAGTTCCGACTCATAGCCACCTTGTGCAAACAGAACAAAACACTGCCCAGTCCTATGCCATCTTCATGATTGTCGTTACGCTTGAGCCCATTGCTGCTGCCACTGTGCCAGTCCATCTTGTTGGGAATCCTTATAACAGGGCAGTTATCCAGTGCCAACACAAAAAATAAATATGCCACCTACAAGCTAGGATCCCATCCTTGAGAGACTCTTGTATTATTTACGTTAGAACAGGTAAAAGGTCTCTGGACAACTTGATCTCATTTATCTTTCCAACCAAAGCATACCAAGAAGGTAAGGTATTAATATTATGATAACAGAAGTGACCTTGTTGGATCTATTCTGTGTGCCAGACACTGATCGAAGGGTTTCATACATTTAATGACAATAAAACCCCTAAAAGGAGATAACTATCATTGGACCCTTTTTTAAAATGAGGAATCTCAAGCTTATTGATTCAATTAGTGAGGGACAGAGCTGGGGTTTGTACAGCTCCTTTAAATTCTCATGAACCTAGGATAACCCATCCTGTGTGGCTGCCCTAAACCTTCCTCATTCAGGAGTGTGGTATTCATAGCTGAGTGAGCTCAAGCTATGTGGCCTATGAGCCACTTGGCAGCCCAGTGTTTGTAACACAGAACCCACCAATCAGAAGTCACTCAGTTGGTCTGCTTTTGTTACAGGTGAAGATGTTCACACAATTTACATGTCATATGTCTGCATTTGTATCATTTTCTAGTCAGAAGAGGGCCAAGACAACGATGGACATTTCAGTAACCTACCGCCTCTGGAAAATGCAGAGCAGTTTGATATAATGACTGACGTTGGCTTCCCTGTTTCAGGACACCCATGCCTCTCCTACCCCAACTTGGATGCTTTCAAAACTTCCTATGACCTAGCCACCTTCCAAGGAGACATAATGCCACCCTTTCAAAAATACCCAAACCCAAGAATCTATTTGCCTAGGTCACCTTGTAGCTATGACTTGGCAGGCCCTGGGTACACACATTCTAGCCCATACCCCACCCTTTATAAAGACTCCACCAGTAGCTCTAATGACACAGACTGGGTTCATCTCAACACGCTACAGTGTAATGTCAATTCCTACAGTAGTTACGGGAGAAGCTTCGATTTCACCAGTCAGCAACATGGATGGAAGCCAGCCCTTGGAAAACCTGGCCTTGGAGAGAGGACTGACCATGGACAGTTCCAGGCTATGACCCCTTGTCCTTATTATAACCCAGAGCATTCCTGCAGGTACCACAAGACTCCCTCCCCTGGTGCTCCAACCCTACAAACTGTGATTACCACCACCACCAAAGTGTCCTACCAGGCCTATCAGCCCCCTGCTCTGAAATACAGCGATACTGTGCATGAGGGCAAGAGCCTTTCAAGCTGTAATTATGCTTCTGAAAACACCCCCATATCCATCTATGCAGAAGGCTTGGACTTTCCAGGTACAGTGACCAAGGAAGCCTCCCCAACAGGGTCACTTGCTTTGAAAATTCCAGAAGATTGCCATACCCTCAGATCCACACTGGCTCTTTCTCAGGAATCAACTCCCTCCAGGGCAGACCCAGCAGAAACTTGGGCTATGTATCCATCAGGGCTGGAGCCTGCGATCAGTTACTCAAACGGAGTTGGTCAGTTATTTAACTATGACAATGAGGACTTCTGAAAGACAATCCAAGGTCTAACATAATATTGGACACAGGCAAACAATAGAAAGTGAAAAGGAGACTATCTCTTATTGGATTGGGAGATTCATCTTATATGTAAAGATATATTGTTAGTAGTGAAAATGCTGGTTCGGTGAAGTCTAGTTGTTAATATTTAAATGTCTAGAGAAGTTTTACACAGCATTGTAAGACCCACTGCAGTACATGGAAGTAGGTCTGGAGGGTGCAATTCATCCAATGAGCAAGGAATCAAACTGGAAACTATGAAAGTTAAACATTGGCCTAAATTAACTTTGTTTATTTGCAGAAGTCAAGGATCTGAAATGTTTTCCCATGAGACCACATTAGGGCATTTCACAAATCTTTATTTGGCCCTTTGTTGTTGTTAAGTGCTGTTGAGTCGGTTCTGACTCATAGAGACCCTATGTAGTGTTTCTGAGGCTGTGTATCTTTACAAGAGCAACTGGGCTTGAACTGAGGACCTTGTAATTAGCTGTTGTTATTAAATGCCGTCGAGTCAGTTCCAACTCATAGCAACCCTGTATACAGTTTCCAAGGAGTGGCTGGTGAGTCTGAACCGCTGACCTTGTGGTTTACAGTTCAGTTAGGAAGGTATTTTTATCATCTTGTCTACAAAGCATTTACAGGGTTTTTATTTTCATTTCTGATGATGGTCAAGTGCAGCTGCTCTTAAATGAGTTTTCTTTTTCAGAATCAGCTGAATATCTTAACATTTAGGGTTGTTTTACCATCAGAGATATCCTAATGATTATAATGCATACTTAGTAGATTATCATTGTACTAAAATATTTATTTCCTGATTAGCCTTCAAAATTGGAATTGAGATGTTTGATTCAAATATACTCATTGTTTCTTTTCATACATGTGATTGATAATTTTGCCAAATATAATAAAGATATTGAAAGTAATGTAGCTGATTCTTAATCTATTTCAAAACAGAAATTCAGAGGGGGGGAAAAAGTGTTCACAGAATGACTTGGAAAACACGTGTTATAATACATTAAATTACATTAAGTAGTCTAACAGTTTTGTAGTTTATGTAGAAGGGTCTGTTTGCTATGTTCTATAATAACAGAAAGCTTCTTCAAAACATTTGGAATGGACATACATACATTTGTACAGCTCCCAGTACTTGGTAAGTAGAACATTCAATTGCTAAATAAAAATGACAAGGCTGCAGAATTAAACAAATGTGAGGGCAGAGAGGAGTAAAGAGACGTGCACTGTCAACTTTGCCTGGTTCACAGGACCGAATTCAGTAAGTCAGATGCCATTTTAAATCATCAAGCTCTTTTATTTTTTTTAATGTGTTTGGTAATGTCTAAGAGATTTTCATAGTTGTATCTCCTGTTGCTCCAGCACATTCACGGCTCTATACGAATATCCTGTCAAGCCTTTATATATTTGTGGGTAGTCTTCCACTCAGGAAGAACCCTGGTAACACAGTGAGTTATGACTTGGGCTGCTAACCACAAGGTCAGCAATTTGAATCTACCAGCTGCTCTGCAGAAGGAAGGTGTGACTTTCTGCTCCTAGAAAGATTTATAGCCTCAGAAACCATATATAGACAGGGTTGCTATAAATTGGGATGATTCCAAGGCACACAACCTTTTATTGTTACCATAGAATCACCTCCAACTCAAGCTGCCTCCCTATACAACTGAACAGAATGCTGTCCCATCATGCATTCCCAAATGTCTCCCAGTGGGCCCAGACCCACCTTTCTCATACTCTCTCTCTCTCCTTTTTTTTTTTTGCTTTACAAAACCTTTAGTAAGAAACATCATAAGCTGAATACAGTTCCATACACAATTTTACAAAGTTCAAGGGAAGGAAGTTTGAGGAAGGCCGTTAATATGCATATTTGAACACCACAGTAACTTGCCAAAGGGATAAACCTAATTATTTAATCGTGATCCCCAACAATGATTTTTTTTCATGCTCAGCATATTTAATTAAAAAAAATAACATAAAACAGTATTTTTGAAAGAAATGAACTCTGAACAACAAAGGGACCTGCGGCTTTAGTTCATATTTTAAGTCTAAGAAAATTAAAGAAAGCAACCCAAAGAAAATTGGAATCACACACACATGTCGTTGTTATTAAGTGCCGTCAAGTCGAGGCCAATCCATAGTGACCCTGGTATATGGTTTCCAAGGAGCAGCTGGTGAGCTTCAACTGCCAACCCTGCAGTTCAAACCGCTTTGCAGTCTGGCGCGTTAACCCACAGTGCCACACCAGGACTGCACACACATATAGACAACCTTTAAGGGCTTGATTTCTGTTTTAAATTCTGTAAGTGCCTCCCACTTCCCCTACACAAAATTAGAAGTCTGACTTGCACTGTTGGGTGAGTATTTTGTGTCTGTTTCATGCATTACTATCATCACTCTGAGCATCATGGAGCCCAGGTGTGACGCTCTAGGATAAACACTGAACCGCAAGGTTGGTTTGAACCATAAGGGTCACTATGAGTCAGAAGAAACCTGAAGGTACTGAGCAACAATAACGACAGTGGTATTCATTATTATTGGTAAGATCAAGTGCACTGTGGCCACTATGTATTTTGTGTCCTTTCCAACCTCATCTTCCAGCACTATGGCAAGCAATACCTGCTGTGATCCATCAGGTTTTCATTGGCTGAGTTTGGGAAGCAGATCACCACGTCTTAGTGTATCTTAATCTGGAAACTCTGGTTTAAGCTGTTCACCATGGGTGACCCTAATGGTATTTGAAATACTAGTGGCATAGCTTCCAGCATCCCAGCAATGCACAAATCTACAAACTAACAGCCATCTTGTAACCACAAACTAGTAGTCTTGGCTACTAGGATTCATAGGAACTCTGGTAGCGGTAGCGTAGTGGTTACAAACTAGGCTGCGAAGTGCAAGGTCAGCAGTTTGAAACTACCAGCTGCTCCACAGGAGAAAGATGAGGCTTTCTGCTCCCGTAAAGATTTACAGCCTTGGAAACCCTGTACAGGGTCTCTATGAGTTGGAACCTACTCAACAGCACTTAACAACAACAACAACTAGGATTCATAAGCACTAATGCAGGCAGTCACTGGGTTAATATCTGTTCCTAAAGGTGTCTTTAAGTCAAATATATAGATGTGGCTCTATAGGAATAAGCAATGGACCATGAGGTAGGCTTGAACTGCAAGGTCTGTGGTTCAAACTCACCAGTTGCTCCTTGGAAACCCTACATAGGGTCGCTATGAGTCAGAAACTACTCTATGGCACTTAACAGCAACAACAACATAAGTAAATCAGAACTGATACATAAGGTTCTCATTCAGCCTTACTGTAGTGTAAGAAAAGGCTCAAAGCCTTTTTCATGATTTCAAACCTGCATGTACAGCAACTGAGATGATTGTGATGAAGAATTTGCCTGAGTAAGGGTTGGGTCAGTCATTTCATAGTGACGGCTAATTTGCATAGCATTAAAGGGCAAGTTCAAATTGCCCATCAGTCAGATGTTCATAACCCAGGGGCTTACGGTACTCGAATAATACATTATTTATTCGGAGTATGTAACTATGAGTATACTCCTGTGATTCCCTAACCGAAGTTTTCTCAGAGGAAAGGATGCCTTGTATACTAATAGTGTGTCCACTGCCAACTCTTCAGGCTTCCATTATCCAGACTAGGGTCTACCATGTGCCAGACTCCTTTAATGAGGTACATATTAACCCATTTAATCCTCATAACAAACCTCTGAATTTCCTTAGAGGGATGAAGTGACTGATACTTCAGTAAATGACAGAGCTGGAATTTGAATTCAAGTCATCTTCAGAACCTGTATTTATTACCACACATCAGCCTTTGTTAGTCAGTTGTCAGTGACATTCTACTTTTATTTAATAAGTTTTGTACTTATCCCTGAGTGGGACAAATAGTTTAATGCATAGCAAATAACCAAAAAGTTTTGTGGTTCAAATCCACCCAGAGATGCCCTGGAAGAAGGTCCTGGTGATCTACTTATAAAAGATCATGTTGTTACTGCTTTTAAGTGCCATCGAGTCAGTTCCAACTCATAGAGGAGTGGCTGCTGAGTTTGAACCCCTGACCTTGCAGTTCAAACCTACCTTCTGGTACAATGCATTACACTGCAGTGTCAAACCACAGCTCCAGCCATTGAAAACCCTATGGAGTACATTTCTGTTCTGACATAATGAGGTCACCATGAGTCAATATTAATGCAATAGCAACAGGCTTGGTTTGTGTGTGTGTATTTATGTCCCCAGCATGGGACCTGAGATGTCCGTGCAGGGCAGGTGGATAGCATCAGGGGCAGTGGTGAGCAGACATGGATGGAGGTCTGGGGTAGGATTTCCCAATGTGGGGTACGAAGTTTCCCTGAGGTATGGAATAACTCTAGACTGCCCGTAAGTTTTTCTTTTTTAACTTGTTAGTTATGGATTTTTAATGTATAATAGGGAACAAAATAAACCAAGATGGATTTTTTTTCTATTTTGTTTGTTCTAAGGCAAAGCCATTTAAAGAAAACTACTACGCAAATAATACTGCAACTGTTGCAAGAAAAAGAAAATGGTTTCAGAACTACAGAAGAATGAGCAACAACTGCATATAGCAAGGGACCAGGGCCTCAGGGAAGTGGCCCAGCTGGAAAGATGAGATGGTGATGACAGCAAGACTGTCTAACGCGGGGCAAGCAAGCTCAGGTGTGACTCGGGCACTGGAACAGGTGTCAGAGATTGAGGAAGTTATTGGAAGTTTTAGATTCCCGATCACATCTACTGCTCTACTGTTAAGGAGCAAAAAAGTTCCGTGGAAAATGAATGGAAGTAGGAAATGTGCGAGAGTCTACCTTTCATAAAACTCAATAGTAACTACCAGTTATTATTAACAGAGCCTATCTGATTACTAACAATATTAGCTTTCAAAGAAGGGACAGTATACAGTATGGCAGCTAGGGTTACTGATACACTATTCTCTGATCTTGGTGGAGTCCTGG